ACTCTGGAGCACTCATACTCGTCTTTTGTTTTTGTTTTTATTACCAGACGACAGCGCGAAAATCCAAACGGGCAAAAACCAGCTCGAACAACAACAAGAATAAAAACAACATGAATCGATCGATCGATCGCCGGTGCGCGGAGTAAAATGATCTTTCTCAGTAGTTTGGACGAGCGCGTGGCGAATGAAGGTGACGCATTCGGGGACTTGGCTATTTTCGTTGTGATTAGTAAATTTAAATTAGAATTAGAATAAAGCGAATGCTTCGATTGTGAAGAGCACATCAAATGTTTAGTTGCACAGCGTGTGGACGTGAGGCTGCACAACCAACGAAAAAAAAGGGGAAAAAATCAGTTCTATTTAGATTGTAAGAAGTGAAAAGAATTATTTTCGACGCAAAATTGGGTCAAGTGCATAGTTTGTGTGGCACAGTGAGCAAAGAAATTGTGAAACTCAATGCAAAGTGCTGGAAAACAAGTGAAAATTGTCAGAAGAAAAACAGATGCAACAGGGCAAAAAGTGGCAGCTGCAGCAACAGTTTGAGCAGCACTGTGTCAAGATACGTGCAGCAGGAGCATAAGCTGAAAAAACATTTAACAAGCGATATTTAATACAAAGTGTAAATATTGTGTCATTAAGCACACACACTAACAGAACTAAAGTTTAGTTAATTACCTAAATTTATATAAACAAATATTCGATTACAGTTAGAGCAGCAGCGTGCAGCAAATAAAGGTGAACAACTTGGCTATTCACCACAGTTCAACATTTTTCTAAGCAAGTGGCAACGTTGCTCACTTAACATTACCTCAAGTTAACAGCGCGCCTAACAGCGAACAATAACAACAATGAATCAATGTCTGCCTGTAAACGCAAAGATGTCGAAGGCGAAGAAGGTTTTGGATGAGGCGCGTGAGACGCAAAATCGTGAATTGGACCTCGTCGACAAGGGCCTGGTGTCCTTTGAGGAGCTGCCCGGACTGTGTAAGTACACTTCACAAAATGTGCAACAAGTTATTGTGAAAATCAATGCATTTAAACCGAAAAATCCACGCGAAATGCTGTGACGCCATCTGCGTGCGCCTAACAGAGCTCTGTTTGATGACGCCAGCGTCTAAAAACAAAATGCGCACAAATAGCTAAATAACTACCTGTAAGTGCATTTAATTTGCTGCTTTTGATGGTATGTTCAGGGTGTGCAGTTTAATCAACAAATTAAATACCTTTTAAGTGAATTACAGTTGAATTGCAGCATCAATGCCCATTTATTTATTTTATTTTACTTACAAATAGTCACTTTGCGCACAGTAACGTCATCTCGCTCGCACCTTTGCCTGTTGACTGCGGAGCGGCAAAACAGCTGTTATTGGCTTTGCTTTGAGGCCAGTAGAAAATTTGCTGCGTTTGTTGAATATGCATCTGTAAACAATTTAACTGCAGAAGCACAGTTATTCTCGGTGTGACGAATTTCAAATACCCTTGCAAACTTATAGCAAATGAGCATACTTCTATACTTCGGTTTTTCATAAAAAAAAAAAAACAATTTCTAACCGATTGTTCCTATGGTAGCAATATGATATAGTTGACCTTTGCTAATATATTGGGATCATAGTAAAGCCCATAAATGCTGAGTTTGGTTTCGAATCGTGAAAAACTAAATATTGTTTCATACAAATAATAAATTTTTAACAGATTGTTTCTACGACAGCTACGACATGATAAAGTGTTCTTATTTTGATCAAATAAAACTGTTAAGTTTGGTCAAGATATCTTCAAAAACAAAAAAGTTAATCATATAAGAGATTTCAAACGATCCGGAAAGAGATAACTTCGAGAAAAATGAACTGGCAATATCAACCAGTCCGCTATTGGGATAATAATAATTACAATAACAAGTAAGAGGTTCTAGTTGGGAACTCCCGACTAGGGGATATCCTGAACCCTCTTCTTCCATCAGGCGATAGGTATAAAATGAAAGATACTTGATATATATATACTATTCTAGAAGCTACATGTCAAGTTTGGTGACTCTATATCGGAAACAAGCTCGATCTGCGCGGGCACCTGGAGGACCTACAGCTCAAATTTAAAGTCCATAGCTCTTATAGGTTCTGGGATCCTTCCGTTCATACATACGGACAGACGGACGGACGGACGGAAGGACAGACAGACGGAGATGGCTAGATCGACTCGGCTGTTGATGCTGATCAAGAATATATGTACTTTATGGGGTCGGAGATGCTTCCTTCTGCCTGTTACGTACATTTGCACAAATACATTATACCCTGTTTACCCATTTTCAATGGGTTCAGAGTATAAAAATAACAATAATAGTATAATTATTATTATATAAATATTAACCTTTTGTATTGCTTACAGTCAACATGTCCAATATCACACGACTGACGCTGTCGCACAACAAGATCAGCATTATTAGTCCCGGGATTGCAAATTTGCTGAATCTGGAGATACTGAACCTCTCCAATAACCAGCTCAGCGAGCTGCCAGTTTCGCTCTCCTCGATGCCCAAGCTGCGCATCTTGAATGTGTCCATCAATCGGCTGGGCAACCTGCCGCGTGGCTTTGGCGCTTTTCCCGTGCTGGAGGTGCTCGATCTGTCCTACAACAATCTGAACGAGCAGGTGCTGCCGGGCAATTTCTTTGGGATGGAAACGCTGCGCGCCTTGTATCTGGGCGATAACGACTTCGAGTATATACCCAAGGAGCTGGGCCAGCTGAAGAATCTGCAGATACTGGGACTGCGGGACAACGATCTGCTGGAGCTGCCACGCGAGGTCGGCGATTTGGTGCGGCTGCGCGAGCTGCACATCCAGAACAATCGGCTGCAGGTGCTGCCGCCCGAGGTGGCACAGCTCGACCTGCTCAGCAACAAGTCGGTGATGAAAATGGAGGAGAATCCCTGGGTGAATCCCATAGCCGAGCAATATCTGTTGGGCATCAGTCATGTGATCGAGTATCTCAAGACTGAAACCTACAAAATGTGAGCCTATATACCACACTTAAATCCATGTACGTTGATTACTCACTAGATACCCTGTATTTTTTTTTTCCGCCCAACAGCATCTACAATCGTCACATGCAGGGCGGACGCAGCGGCCCGCCGCCGCCGAAGGCTGACAAGAGCAAGAAGGCATCCAGAGTGCGCGCATAGTCACCAGCTGGAGGCTCCACTGTACTTGTGTTCGTCTTTTCAGGCTGCCACAGCTAAATGTGTGTTTTTTCGTCTTAACCAAAAATATGTTATTTTGTATACTAATTTCTAAGTACTTGTATTTAAATATTTAATTTTGTAAAGTGCCTTAAATGTTTGCTAACAAACGCGAATAATAAAAAATCAATAATTAAAAAGTATCTGTCATAAACTATTGGAGGGAAACATAGAACATCCTTTTGTTTAAGCATAAACTAACTATTTAAAAATGTATTAAGTGTCATTAATATAGGATTAGCGCAAGATCGAATACCCTTACTTAAGAGGGAATTCGAAGCAGCAAAATCCATGTATCAAAATTATATTGTAGCTAATATCACTTTTTATCTTTAAAACTTTTTACTGGAACTTCAATTTTGTACTCACCTAGGTTTCCGCAATAAAGAGTTTAAATAAACATTACAAAATTAAAATTATTACACTAAAAAGAGGTTTTCTTTATATTTTATAAAATAGTAGTTTTGTTCTTGTTTTTATTATCATTTCTTATGTTCATTCTTAATTTTTATGTGTTGTTTGTTTTTTTTTTGTAGCAGTGTTTTTAGCCTTAAATTCAATTAATTAATTCATTATATTATATAATTAAATTAATAGTTAAATGTTTTTTGTTTTTGTATTTCGTCTTGTTTTATTTTTTTTTGTTTCTTGTCTTGCGATAAACTAATAGCATAGTTTGCGTTTGTTGCTCAATTTAAATTTAATACATATTTTATATATCAATTTAAGTAATTACTGTTAAACATATGTTTGTTTTTTTTTTCTCCTTTTCTTTTTCATTGTTATGCAATTAAACTTGTATTTCTTTTACTTAATTAATGCATCTTTCATTTTGTGTAATTCTTAGAGATTTTTCTATTTACAAGTTTGGTTTTTCTTGACGTTTAGCAAGAATGAAAAATATTCAATTTTTTTAAATAAGAAAAGTTTAAAAAGTGTGTAAAATTAATTTCCAATTGCAAATGCAATAAAAAACGTATTCAAAAGAAATACTTAAAAAATGTTAATATCGAATTAAAACAGCAGTCAAAATTGTTGCCACAGCTATTAAAAATACTTTTAAGAATTCAAACATTTTATGGCCCAAACAGCAGAGCTGAAGATGCGCCTGAAATGCGTAAAAAATCAAATTTCAAGAGTTTTCAAGTGCGAGACTACAGACGAAAACAAAAAACATAAACTAGAAACCCTAATTAAAATACAACAAATACAAATACAAATTCAAATACGAATACGAATAGTGTGTGATTAATTGTTTAGCTTAGACTTATGGAGGATATACATGCCATATAGAGATGAGTAACATTTAACATAATCAGTTGCTGGCTCAGAAACAGCTCATTAAAGATTAAACGTAAAGCTTTAAACCTAATACAAATTGACAAAATCAATACTAAAATTATAAATAATGCATGTATCTAATTAAATGTGTTAATGGTAACTAAAGAATTTATTTAATTATTGAATTGCTTGCGTTATTCGATTCTCGCTTGTTTTATTGCTATTTTTTGCGCTTGAAGAATTGTTTGAAAATATCTGCAGTTTATTTTTGTATAAAAATGACTTTGGCAACAAATATTTTAAATTCTCTTTTCAATCAATTCTAAATAAAAATAATACGTTTTTTCTTTTCCCTTTTTTTTTTTTTTTTTGTAAGTTTACAAATGCAGTTTTGTCGGCTTTAATCAAAGTTTTGGCCCTTGGTACAATTAAATACAATTTAAATGCATTGCCAGCCGCTTAATTAATTTGCAGTTTTTCTTTCGTGGTGTTTTCTTTTTTTTTTACAAAACCATATGTTTGCGCTTTGGAAAATGTAATTAATTTTTCTCGCCTTGGCTCTTTAGTAAATGTTCGACATTTAAGTATTTAAATATGTTTTATAAATATCTTTTGTGTTGTTCTTGCGTAAATTTCTATTTTGTTTTTTTTTATTCATGTTGTTGCTGCTTTGTAAATAAGTACGCACAATCATTATGTTTACGTTTATGTATGTATATATATATTTCTGTTTGTTCACTATATATATATATATATTATGCAATCTGCCTTTTAATTATTTATAATAATAATGATTTGCATTCTCATATCAATTATTTTAATCAAAAATATCGTTCATGTTTTGTTTTTAGCATTTTTTTTGTTGGTTCATATGAAATTTTTGCTTTACTCTCTGTCTGTTTTTTTTTCATTCAATTTATCAGCTTGTTTAAATAAAAATAATTAGCATAAAAATTACATTTACATTTAATTTGAGTTCATTTGATTTTTGTTCTTGTTGTTGTTGTTGTTGTGGCTGTGCTAGCTGTTGTTGTTGTTGTTGTTGCTTTTGACGCTTTGCTTTTGGGTTTTTTTGGCGCTCCGACTTTAATTTTGGTTGTCAAACTTTACCATTGTTGGGCGCCCGCGTCGTCGACTCGTACTGGCCACGCCCCAAAGCCGCATAGGCGTCGGAATAGGCGTGTTGTTGTTGTTGTTGCTCCGCCTCCTGCAGCTGCTGCTGCTGGTGCAGCTGCTCCAGCGGCTGTTGTTGTTGTGGCTGTTGCTCATGCAGCGATGTCGGTCGACTATAGCTTACTTGAAGCGGCGGCGGGGGCGCGACGCCTATATAAGTTTCGAGTACACAGTGGGCCAGACGAGGGGATGAAAATACACATGAAAAGTTGAATTAGTTTCTTGACTTGGTTGCTGTGGCGCCTGCTCCAGAGACCCCCCTCCCCATCCCCCTCCCCCCTGGGCGGCTACTTGAATTAGGCCATGTGCAGCTTATCGATTTACATTAATACACACACACACACACACACACACAGAGAGACATTTCAAGTTTTTTAGTAGTTTTTAGTAGTGTATTTGTTTTTACAACTATGCAAATGAAATGCCTTTCAAAAACTACCAACAAAGTTAAGGTTTTAATAATATTTAAAATTCTTTTCATCCCATAAACTTAAGCTCTGAGGCTTTTTCATTCACACAGCTTAAAAACATGTGGTTTAAGTAATATTAATATTTAGGTGTTAAATTGGAAACATAGAATACAAAAATTATAATTGAATATAAATAAAATATATACATATATTCAATAATATAATTTTAACTTGTGCTTAGTTATTTTTTTAATATTAGTTCAATTAAATTTTAATACTTTTTTAACCTCGATTGGATTTTTATTTCTTTATCTCAACAATAGTTAGTTTTGTTAGTAGTTAAAAATATATTTCGAAAAATTATATAATAATATAGTGCGCATGCAATAACAAAAACAACAACAATACAATATTCAGGGAAAACAATAAAAGAAAAGGGACACAAAAAGGAATAAAACAATATCGAAACATGCGAAAGGAAAACAACCAACCAAATACGGTAAAAACATTACGATTCGTGTTAGTAGAAACGATGAGAAAACAAACCGATAACAGGCAAAAATATCGATAGGAAAATAATAATCGGAAACGCTGCATTAATGGAAAAAAAATTGTCATACCAATTGCTTAGCGAATTCTGTTGGGGAAAGCGTTTCGTGGAACGGTGGAAAAGGCACGCAAGCAAGCGCGTGGGGTTGGAGGCGTGTGCTGGGTATTTAGTATTCAATATGGCATGTTTGAGGCGTTCTCTCCAATTCCACGCGTTCCATGCCAGCTTGTTTCTTTAGTAAACAATATTGCGACGTGTTTTGGCGGCGGCTGCTGCCGTTTTGTCTTTGCTGCTGCTGCGGCTGCGGCTGCTGTTGTGTTTGTTGTGTTGTTGTTGTTGTTGTTGTTGTTGTTGTTGTTGGGCTGTGTCTTTGGCTTTGGCACTTTTGGCATTCTTACTACTACTCGCGCCCGACGAGGGCGTGGCTGTGGCAGCGGTGTTGTTGTTGGTACGTGATGAGCGGGACTTATTGCGTGGTGGTAATTCTGAATTTTTGTTGGTTTTGTTTGGATTTTTTGTTTGTTTTTGAGCAGTTTTGAAAGAGAAACAAAAACACAAAAACGAAAAAGAAAAACGACAAATTACAAATTAAATGTGTGTTTGTGGAACAATATGGGATTCGAAACAGCAGCTCGCGCTGGACTACTAGGAAGACCCTAGGCGAGTGGGACACGCACCTTTCGGCGCATAGAACGCTTGCGGTTGTTGTTGTTGTTGTTGTTGTTGCGGTGAGAGTACTTGTTGTTGTTGCTGTTGCTGCTGTTGTGCATTTGCCGGCGGCAACGGCAGCGGCAGCTGAGCACGCGCCACAACGCCGCCGCTGCTGATGGCCGCCTGCACACCACCACCAATGGCACCCACGCCCGCCTGTTCGGCTGCATACCCAGATCGGCCGCTGGCCTGCGGCCGTCCGCTGCTGCTGGGCCGTGCGCCGCGTCCGTCGCTGCGTCGCGCCTGATTGGCGGCCGAGCTGCGACTGGAATGACCGCCGCCCGTGGGCAGCGGAATTATCGAGTGTCCGCCCTGATGCCGGTCCCATTCGTGCGGATGCGCATTATGATGATGACCACGTGCGCCACCACCATGCCGTCCACCACCGGCTGCACCGCCAGCAGCGCCGCCAGCACCACCTCCTCGGGGATAATGCTGCGCCTCGTGCGCGGGCGGTGGAATGCTGCGTGGTCCGGCTCCGCGCTGATTCGGATGACGCTGCTAGAGTTAAGGCGTACATAAATTATAGATAAAATATAGATAAAATATTAGAAAAAATATATGTAAATAATATCTATGAAATATTGGCGGATAGTTGGACTCACCATTCGACGCAGCGTATTCATTGGCGCGCGCAGCGTCTCGCTGATGCGCCGGGCGCGACGCTTTTTCGGATTGGAGCTGGGCGTGTGGACGGCGCAGCATTTGATGAATGCGCCGAGGACGACAATGAACCCAACGCCAATTAGCACCACCAGATACCAGTTGCCCGTGACCCACTCGGCAACGGTGAGCAGCGTTTCGCGATTGAGCAGCAGATTCTTGAGCCGCACCAGCGGCCCGTCGGCGTCGACGGCGCGACACTTGAGAAAGACATCGCAATAGCCCTGGAAGTTGTCGCAGGGTGAGCCCGGCTGGAGGCTGATGCCACCCGGCTGTATATTATATTCGGCGGCAAATTCGCTGGTGCTGCGACAGCTGGCCGTGTCGTTGCCATCCTGGCAGGCCAGCTCGCACAACTTCCGCTTGTCCACGTGCGGCACCATGGACGAGGTGAGGAAGCATTTGGTCATATTCCATAGCAGGCAGGGTGACCCGCTGCACTCGCCGCGTATGCACAGGGCGGTGCCATTGTTGCACATGGTCTTGTCATCGCGATGCCGTGGCTCCGGACACTCGGCGGTGGTGCCGTTGCATGTGCTCGACCAGCTGCATTCCGTCTCCTCCTTGCACTTCTGGTGATAGTGCGTGGGCACGAACGCGCACGAGTTGGCCAGGCAGCAGGGTCCCTGCGAGGGTGAACACTGCGTCTTGGCGCGACGCTTGCAGCCCTTGGCGCTGGAGTTCAGCGACTGATCGTACTCGCTGATGAGCCGCGGGTAGCAGCAGTTGTCCTTGCACTCCTCCTCGTTGAAGCCACAATCGCATTCCTCGCCGGACTCCACAATCTTGTTGCCACAGAAGGCGCCCTCCGAGGCCTTGAAGCAGTCGCGCTTCGTGTTGCCCACAAGCACGTCCAGCACATTGGAAATGTTGCGTATGGAGCACGGTGAGAACTTGGAATTGTTTGGACGATCACCAGAGGTGGCGCTGGCGAACATAATGTAGTTGCCATTTAGTCCGCCAGGACGGCATTCTTGCGGGTAGTCGTGCTGCAAGGGGAGCAATCGAATGGGTTTAAGTATGAGGAACGATGGAATGAAACCACTAATAGACATTACACGTTATGTAAATAAAACCACTAATTGAAATAAATTAATTAAAATTACGGGTTATAAACACAATTTGTGGAACGAGGAAATGGAACACGAAATTCGTTGATAACAAGAAAATGAGATATGGTTCCGTAGTGACTAAGATTTGGGTAGAACTGCGGAATGGTACACGAAATTTGTGTTCAACTGTTAATAATCCAAATAAGGATTGAAAGTTATGATAATGGGACTAAATGAAACAGTGGAATTAAATAAATTTCTATAATAATAACTGAAGTTCCCTAGTGAGAGAAGGCGAAACTCCCCTCACTCCCCCTCCACTTAATTCGTTTTCTTACCGGAGATCCAAAATTATGTCCAATTTCATGGGCAAGTGTCAGCTGCGATACTTTTGGTGGCACGCGACTGTTGTAGTTGACAAAGGTGATGATGCCCGTGTTCAAGGAGCGCTTGGTGCTCTGGTATTGGCCACCCACAGTCTCCGTGTAGGTCTTGTACTTCTCGCAGATGCCGCCAGAGGCGCCTGATGCGCTGGCCACCCAGGCCAGGCCCAAAGTGCCGCCCGTAAAATCTCTGCATGGGCAGAAGTAAAAGTTAATATTAAAGCTAAATATATAGTTTTGTTGCTAATCACCTGTAGGTAAATACATAGGCTAGACAAAAGTCTGAGTGATCCTCTAAAGAGTGGAGATTCAAGAAGTTCGATACGTCCATGTGTTCATTGCAAAAGGCATTGTGTGGCCCATTGTAGGCATTTCGACAGGCAGAATCATCGTCGATTTTAATGCGTTGCACCTGGAAGGAAGCGTTGTCAGGATTAAGTCGAATAATGGTTAGAATTTTGAAATAAACTATGAAAAACGTGACAAAAAAAAAACATTTTTATGAACTCTATCTAACATTGTCTTAATTTAAAAATATTTCTGGATCTTCCTATTAACAATTCTAGTTTATTTTCTGAAACAATTCCTAACATCTTTTCATAGTCAAAACTTTATGGAAGACTTCTTAGCCGAGCTTAGTTCTACAAGATTTTGGATCTCAGTTTGTTTGACCAAGAAAAATATTTAATGTTAAAGTAGGAACATTACAGCAATTATTTAACCGATTTGAATTTAAATGTTTCAATTCCAGTTGTTGCAAATCATATATAATTTAGAATTGTTTCCCAACGAGTCTCCTTTTATGAAATGCGTATTCATAATCCCTATAAGATTTTCAGTTTATTTCACAAAGAAAAATCATTTCAAGGAGGATAATTTGACTCAACTTGAAGATCTAATAAAATAGGTAATCTCTTTAAAGAGACATTCAGGTCTTCAATTTAAGATCGTTTCACTATTAAAACTGTACAATTAAGCATATGAAATTAGACAAAATTTCAATCCATCTTGAAGAGCTGTGCTTTAAGGATGGGGATAATAAATTCATCCCAACTCGACTGAGCTCGACTCAACTGTCAGCGAGTCGTTTCTGGCATAATTATTGGGGCTGTCTGTGCTTAAACGTTTCTCTTTACGGCCCTGACGAGGTTCTGGGTGCTGGGTCCTGGGACACGGCCTTTGTTCTGTGCGCATTGTTGGGAGTGGAGCCAACGCTGTTGGCAATTGCCAACCACAGGGGGCGCTGCTGTGCACTCACCTCAAAGCGTATGTTGCGATGCTCGGTGCGTCCGTCGAACTTTGTGTTGCGGTAAATGTAATTAACGGCCGTCACATGATGTGCAATCAGCGATGTGATTTCCTCACGGGTTTTCACGTCCACCTCGTACTTGCGACCGCGATCGTGCTGCAGGGAAAGAGCGAGAATATTGGGAAATTAATTAACAAAAAAAAATAAATAAAAATAAAAATAAAAGCATTCGACTTTTAGGCGCGCGCGCGTAATAAAAATCTCAACCGCAATGCCGCTGCGCTTGACATTTCTAGCAAACAAGCAGCCGCAGGATGGGCGTGGCAAACAAAGCAGGCAGACAAACAAACGACCTCCCGACCCCATACCAAGATTGCCCACACCAGAGCAGAACCCCCCTCACACGCACGCACACACACACACACGCACACACACACAAGCGCATACACAACAAGCACTCTTCAAATATATTTGTATAAAAATGCAAATTCAGCTAAAAACCCGTCGAATATTTTTCAGAAGTTTGTTCGTTTTTATACGCGCGCGCTGAGCGGGTGGCTTTGCGGGATTCCGCCGGCTTGGGCCTGGGCGGAGGTGGAGGTGGAGCTGGGGCAGAGGGTCTATCATCGCACCGCTAACGGCAGTTTTTGTTCCAAAATCAAAACGCCGCTGGGCTCAGTGACAAAAACGAGCGAGAAAGAGAAAATGTTAAGGCTGTGGGCCAACAAATACCCTGTAAAATATAGTTTCAATATCTACATATGTGGGACAAAGTGACAGCAGAAATGTTTCTATTCTTCAAGAAAGAAGAAACGCTCAATTTTATATATAAACTGTATAACTGTATAAATTTGAATGGGAAGAAAGCAAGTGCTAAGATGCTTGCCCAACTTGAGCATACCCTACTAAATCCATCAATAGAGTATAGAAAACGCGTCACGAACGCAGCGGCGAACGAAACAAATGCGCGAATTATGCAAAACTCATTGCAAATAAACAGACAAAAAAAGAGAGAGAAAGGAGAGAAGCGGGCTGAGCATATCGCAAGAGGGTCGGGGGCTGCAGGACGACCCTGACGAGGATGTTGACGTCGACAACATCGCGAACAATGCGAAAAAATGAACGTAAACATAGAGTGCGGCAAAAGAATTGCTTGCGAACGAGAAAGCATAGGGAAAGAGAAATGGCTGAAAAACAAAACAGAGAAGGAGAGAGGAAGCACGTGAGAGGAAGCCATAACGGCTGATTGCATGCGCTGTAGAAACCGAAGCAGGTCAGCTGATTGGTTGATTGCTTTGAAGACGCCGCAAAGCAGGCGACACCCTACCAAATTTGAAGGTAGGAAATAACTTTACAAAATCAATTCTGCAAAAAAAAAACACTTGAGCGCCCTATTTAGAAACTGGGGATGCTGTCGAAGTAGGCAAGTGGTTAAGAGCTGCTTGAATAATGCGCTAAATGATTTAATGTGTGCTAAACTTTCCAGGATATTTTCATCTCGGAATAATAATAACATGAAAAATAATTAAATTAAGCCTGAATGGATTCTAAATAGAGATCAAAAGAACTCATCTTTGAGTATTGCGAATATCAAGCTCTTGTAAATTTTGAATTGCCCTACCATATTTTTGAATCTTTATATTATTTTTATCTAAATTTGAACCTAATGAGGAATCATTAGAATAACTAGCTCAGTTATTCGACACCCAAAAGATGAACAGAAATCATTTTGCTTAGATGATAAAAATAAGGAAAGCATTTAGTTTAAGGAATAGGAATTTACGATGAACTCTAGTTGCCTTTATCCAATAAACATGATATAAATCTACAGTTTTTTCCGATGTTATTATTTTGATTATTCCCTCCGAATCTTTTTAAGCATAAACCAAAGATTTAAAAAATCTCTGTAGTGCAGTTTTTCCATTAAGATTCCTTAATCTTGAAAGCTGGCTAACTTTTGCTTAACTTTCAACTTAAGCCAACTTTTCGCAACCGAACCTAACTTTCAGGAAACTAAAGAACAATTTGCACTCAACGTAGCACATCAGTCAATTTCTTTGCATTCGCGTTAAACAAAAAATGGCGTCTGACTGACTACGCGCGCATATAGTATACCTCGTAGTCCACCTCCCCCCATTTTGGCCCAACGGCTCCGTTATTTGCCGCACCATGGAAAAAAGCGAACTTCAGGCGCGGCCTTTTGTTTTATGCGCAAACCCAAAAGTGAAGCGTTCGCTCGTAAAAAATTGCAAAATTCATGGATTTTGTTTTGTGTTCTTTAAGCCACAATTCCCACAGCCCGCACCCCACCTGCTGCTGCTGCTGCAGCCGCTTCGCTTTTAATTTGGCGCACGAGCTGACAGGCGCAGCCTCCTGCACTTGCCAGTTGCCGGTTGCCGGTTGCCAGTGCCCAATTTCCCGTTCCCGCCCAGTTGATAGTCAGACTTACATCGGCGATACCCTCGCGTATGTGGCGCCAAATCAATGGATCTGTTTGTATATACAGCGAGCAGGTATTTTTGTTATCCTCACGGCCACGTCCGGGGCCCGACGAGCTGGTCGAACCGCTGGCATTGGAGCCGCTGCCGCCAGTAGCGCGACGGACACGCTCGTGGACCAGCTCATGCCAATCGGCGACATTGGCCGTGGAGCCCAATCGACGACCGGTCTCCGGATCATAGAATGCACCATCGGCAAAGTTTGCCTCCTTTGTATATTTCTGATGTGGAAGTTTGAAATCATCATCGCCGCTGGCGTATTTCTTGGGAGGATGCGGCTGTTGTTGTTGCTGCTGTTGTTGCTGTGGCTGTTGTTGGGGACCAGCAGCCTTTTTGTGCTGCTGCTTCCGGTGCAGCTTTTGGACATCCTTTGACATGGGCACAGGCAGCTCCTCAACCGCTGAATTTTGTATGTTCTCCATCCACTGCGAGACCTCCTCCGTAATGCCGCAGCCGCCCACGTGACCTGTAAAACACAAAAAAAAAAAGAAAAGGAAAATGTTGAAGTTGATGTTGAGTTGAAGTTGAGCTGAGAGTAGACTTAAAAAAATGTAAAAAATCAAGAATTTGTGGCACGTTTTCATTTTAAGCAAATTAATGCTGATGCAGCCGCAAAAGGCAACAACATTTCAGTTTCACCTACTCTGGACCAGAGCCAAATAATTGTATTCAAAAAGAAAAATTAAAATAAAAAACCCTTTAAAAAAAAAAAGAAAGAAAATAAGTAGCACGTTGCATGGTAAAATTATTTATGGCGCACAAAATGAAAACCACGAAAATGTAATTAAAGCGCAGCGCACACAGACAGAGAGACGGCGAGTGCGGGCGGGAAGCGTAGCCGAGTTGAAAGCAGCAAAAAAAAATAAAAAATTAATAAAAAAAATAAAAAATTTTAATGCAAATGCCAAAGTCAAATGTTTGATGGTAAAACAAAAAGAATTATATGAATTATAAAAGTGCTGCATACTTTTAGCGGCTGCTGCACTTTAAATGCATCCACGGAATGCATGTAAGCAATTCGTACTTTATTTATATAATATATTTAATCGCTGCACTTTAAACGCATTTTCTTTTCGGCTAGCGGAAACAGTTAATAGCCCCGAGTCCGGTAATGAAAATTTATTGTTTTATTGTTTAAACACTGTGCGGTTCCACTTTACTTTTGTCGGGCTTTTTATTTATTTTATTTTTTTAATTTCTTTTATCTTGACGCGCTTTGCACGCGCCTCTCTCCCCACAGCTGCAATTGTCAACCCAGGCGCTCAGGATTTTTTTAAAAGCTGCCCGCATTTTTATGGTTCCAGCAATTTACATTCATTTTACATATCTTGCCTGCAATATGGGCGCACTGTTCGTTCTGGGGCAGTAAGGCAATGTACAAAGCCGCTTTAAGTGAATAAAATATGCAGCAAAAAAAAATATTTAGCTAGACAAACACCCTGTAAACCCGTAGGCGGTAAGTACTTTAAGTACTCTGGTATTAATGAATTGTTTAAAAACGGATAGATATTAACTGTGACCTTCACTCATCTCAATATCGAATTTCATAATAAATTTCTTAATAAATTTAGCAAAAAATATATTTTATATATTTTGTTTATATATAACTCTTATCAAAATTATTAAATAAATAGTATTTGTATTATTCTTGCGTTTAACCATTTCAAATTCACAAATAAAAGGTTAATTTTTTACGCCATCCCAATTTTGGTTTAAAAGAATTATGGCAAAAAATACATTCCATACATTTTATAGCTTAAAATTCACTCCTGATAAATATAATTTCATTTGGCAACCATTTCCATTCGTAAAAGCATATTAAAACAGCACTTTAAAAAATTCTCTTTGACTTTTAGCAGTGATGCATTAATACTCTTATTCATTCATATATATTATTTAAGGTACGTGCTTAAATCTGAGTTCGTTTGACTTTAAGAGACATAATCGAAAGTGCGCTATGCTAATAAAAGCTGCTGACTGGGACAGCATTACGAACTCAGTGCACTTTTCATTAAAAGTTTTCATTCTTCTTGGTTTATACTTTAATTCCTTATCCAATGCTGGCCAGCTTCAACGAACCGTTAAAACTCATAACAGGCCACCCAGTTTTACAGTGGGCCACTCAGAGTATATTTTCCCAACTCCCGAGTACGTATTCGAATGGGATTTCGGACCCGGGGCCATAGTGTGTACACACTGGCAACATTGCAATTTTCAGCTGTGCCATAAATTTTTATTTGGCTGACTGCTATTGTGTCAAGTTGGTCGCAAAAGTGGGATGAGGGGGCGGCTTTATAGCTGCTGCTGCTGCTGCCATTATCATTATGCTTTTACACTGTTTCCCCACCTGCCCTGCCCTGCCCTGCTCTGCCCTTTCCTTCCATCCCAACGCACAATGCATTGTTTGTCTTTATTATTTCTTTGCGTAGAGTCCACGGTGTTGCCAAACTTCAGGAGGGACGCTGTGTGGCAACGCCGTTACAACAAAACGCGACCTATACCAAAGCGCAAATTGTACGGCAGGTGCTAAAGAGCAGGGGTGGAGCGGGGCAATCAAGGGGTAGCAACAGCTGAAGCAGCCACTAAATACATAACACTCGACAAGCCAAGAATCCGACAGCGCGCAGCTTCCGCATTTTCTTTTCCGCTGCATTTCCAACAGCCGCACAGCCCCTTCCCTTCCCCCCACACCTCCTTGGGGTGTAATTTGCATTTCAAAGGCATCCCTTAACTCTCTGTCTATCTTTATGCCCTATAAGCAAAACTGCTGTACAGGGTATGAGCGGTTATTAAATTATTGCAATGGTTGGTGAAATCATTTGAAGCATATCATTAGAATAATGCTATTTTATGATTTGAGCATGGAGCGAGAAATATAAAAGAACAAACTCAGATAAGCCCTAATCAGGATAAGAACCAAAATTGCACAATAAAAATTGTAAGATGAAGTAAAATTTGGGTTTGTTTCTTATTAGTTTAAGATTTTAGATTATCGATATAATAATGATAATGATAATGATAAAGATAATGATAATGATAATGATAATGATAATGATAATGATAATGATAATGATAATGATAAAGATAATGATAATGATAATGATAATGATAATGATAATGATAATGATAATGATAATGATAATGAAAATAATATTAATATTAATATTAATGATAATGATAATCATAATGATAATGATAAGGATAAGGGTAAGGATAATTGTAGTGATAGTGATAGTGATAATAGTAACTATAGTAAGTAGAAATGATAATAATAGTTATATTCAGAAGCTGGACAATGAAGTTGAGTAACAATGAGAGAACGATAAAAAATATAGAATTAAAAAACATAATTATCATATTCAGAAAAAAGTAACTCCCAATTCAAGAATATTATTCCTAACTATCAAAGTAGATAAAATGATAATTATTTCATTCAACCCATTTTACAGGGCTTCTCGTAGTCGTCTAGTATTTTATTCGATTTTACCAACTGTGTGCTCCCTGTATAGCTCTTTGTGCACCGCGGCATTTCCATTTTAAGAAGGGTTTAGGGGATTCTGGTTTGAGAGCTGCTCGCTCATCTTACTCCAATGACCCGTTTTTATTTCGTTTTTTCTGCATTTTTTTTACTACTTTTTTGTGTGTGAGTTGTTGTTGTTGCTGCAGCGCCTTTACTTTCTTTTGGTTGGTTTTTTAGGACAGCTTTGTTGTTGTAGCCCGTCCATCAGTCTTTGCGACTCTTGCCCGCTGTTGCGCCGTGCTCTTTGGTAGGGGCTTGCATTCAATCGTGCTTATCTGATGTGTTTGCCTGGACTCAGGCAGCCTTTGCCCAAGATGTTGTCTGATTTTCGGTCTTTATGCTGTGTGCTGCTTTGAGAGTGCCACTCGAGTTGGAAGCTGTCCGCCCTGCCCACGTTATCCTGTCTCTGTGTGTGTGTGTGTGACATTTTGTATTTTATGTTATCTGTGTGTGTGTGTGTGTGGGGCCATTTCAATCAACAGCTGTTGGCGCAGTTTTCTTCACATTTCAGATTTCCGATTTCTCTTTCTCTCTCGCTGGCTGCCACTCAAGCGTTTACTCTTTGTGCCTTTTCGTTGGCACGAGCACACAGATACCCTGAAGCCGCCACACACACACACGCAGCTAGCTGGAGGAGCTAACCCTGCCGGCCGGCCCGTCCAACCCAATCCTTAACCGACACTTCAATCATATTTTGCTGCAGCGTCGCGACGCTCTGAGATTTCTTCACATAGATTAAAGTGCACTTTGGTGTTATCTTTGCCTGCAGTCGCTTCGACACCCAATTCAAGACCCTCTATTCCATACACAACCCCTGTGCCCCTCTTAGCCGCACTTCCAAACTGAAGAAACTTGCACTTGTACAAGATTTTTTTTTTATTCTGTGCCTTCAGCTTTCGTTTCTTGTTGCTCCAATTGCACAAAAGCCACGCGCTCGACTTATGAATTTTACAACTTCCCGTTGCCAGCTCAGGCAAGCTTAGGGTTTGTCCCTCCCCTAACATGCTACTGCCAGGGGATTTCCAGCACAACAGCAGCAATAGCAACAGCGTCAGTCAGAGACAAACGGCGCTCAGACATGCAAGCGGCTTTTATAGAGGGGACGCGAGCGAACGGGCGGACGTTCGGTCTTTAGACCCCCGCCTTCTTTGCCCCAGTCGGAGCCATTCAAGCCTCTTGTGACCTCTGCAAAAGATGCGCAGCAAAAATGAAAAATAATCCCAAATTCAATTGCAAATGAAATTGAGGGCGAAAAACGCTCACAATACCCTTACAAAGCGCAAAGAAAGAAGAAGAAATTCACCCGCATACTATACAAGAAATCCCTACAGGCCAAAAACAGACGTTTTTTGCAATTTCGACGCTTTAAACATGTAAAGAACGCGTTGAGCCAACAACAAGTAGCTCGCCGTACACTAAGAAGGAGCCACTGCTACAATACCCATTAAATTATGTAATCTAAGGGATTTCTTGTTCTCTCCTTGTTTACTCTCGTCAGAGAGCAAAATAAATTGATATTTGTCGATTTACAAATAAGGATCTTTAATGGTAAATATTTCAATAGTTTGCAAAATTAATGTCAATCGTATATATATAATGACTATGATCTCTCGAGAAAAATGTTTCCTTTCCATATTATCATAGCGATAAGAAATGCCTATCCTTAAAGGTTTATATAACGTTGTGCTCTTCATGTGAACCCATTTATTAACACACATTCATTTTTATTAAATAGTAAGATCTTGCTTATTTGTGTGCTCACAAGAGAGCAAGTATTTTGCCATTCCTCTTTGTGCCGTCTTCGCTAATGTTCTACTGGCTGCCCCGCTCGAAGTTTGATCTAAGCGAAAAAGCAATAACATTTTTAGTTATTTATTCATTCTGCCATAATGAATATTTTGCGATTACTGACAGTAAAATTCGTCATGTTGCTTGACAAGCTGCTT